ACCTCTTTTGGTGGGCCATGCTCATCATATTCAACTGAAAATACAAGATTACTAACAATAGACAATAAAATAAACTTACCATCTTCAGTCCTGTATTGCTGGCAAGTATACTTCAATCGGTGTTGTTTCTTGGCTTCTATCACAGCCAAGATTAAGTACAAGTCACAGTCTGAAGTTTTATGAGTGAGTGGCTCAAATCAGTTTTTTAATCCTCTGGGTTTGTCTATAGCATAGACTAAACCAGGGACATTAGCAACTGGTATACCACATACAAGCACTAAATATTGCAGACTGTGACTTGAGTGCATCAACAATGCACACACATGCTCATCATCTTCAACTGAAAATAAAGATTACAAAAATCAGACAATAAAATAAACTTACCATCTTCAGTCATGTACAGCTGGAAAGTACACTTCAATCGGTGTTGTTTCTTGGCTTCTATCACAGCCAAGATTAAGTACAAGTCACAGTCTGAAGTTTTATGAGTGAGTGGCTCAAATCAGTTCTTTAATCCACTGGGTTTGTCTATAGCATAGACAAAACCAGGGACATTAGCAACTGGTATACCACATACAAGCACTACCTATTGCAGACTGTGACTTGAGTGCATCAACAATGCACACACCTCTCTTGGTGGGCCACACACATATTCAACTGAAAATAAAGAGCATCAAACAATAAAATAAACTTACCATCTTCTCAATGCGTATTTCTGTCACGTATTCTTTAGTCGTTTAGTTTGTTTCTTTGCTTATATCACAGACAAGATTGAGTACAAGTCACAGTCTGAAGTTTTATGAGTGAGTGGCTCAAATCAGTTTTTTAATCCACTGGGTTTGTCTATAGCATAGACAAAACCAGGGACATTAGCAACTGGTATACCACATACAAGCACTACCTATTGCAGACTGTGACTTGAGTGCATCAACAATGCACACACCTCTCTTGGTGGGCCATGCTCATCATATTCAACTGAAAAACAAGAAGCACAAACAATAAGACAATAAAATAAACTTACCATCTTCAGTGTCCTGTATTGCTGGCAAGTATACTTCAATCGGTGTTGTTTCTTGGCTTCTATCACAGCCAAGATTGAGTACAAGTCACAGTCTGAAGTTTTATGAGTGAGTGGCTCAAATCAGTTCTTTAATCCACTGGGTTTGTCTATAGCATAGACAAAACCAGGGACATTAGCAACTGGTATACCACATACAAGCACTACCTATTGCAGACTGTGACTTGAGTGCATCAACAATGCACACACATCTCTTTCATCATATTCAACTGAAAATATCAAGCAAAAATAAGACAATAAAATAAACTTACCATCTTCAGTCATCTGTACTGCTGGCAAGTATACATCAATTGGTGTTGTTTCTTGGCTTCCATCACAGCCAAGATTGAGTACAAGTCACAGTCTGAAGTTTTATGAGTGAGTGGCTCAAATCAGTTTTTTAATCCACTGGGTTTGTCTATAGCATAGACAAAACCAGGGACATTAGCAACTGGTATACCACATACAAGCACTACCTATTGCAGACTGTGACTTGAGTGCATCAACAATGCACACACCTCTCTTGGTGGGCCATGCTCATCATATTCAACTGAAAATACAAGATTACAAAAATAAGACAATAAAATAAACTTACCATCTTCAGTCCTGTACTGCTGGCAAGTACTTCAATTGGTGTTGTTTCTTGGCTTCTATCACAGCCAAGACTTGAGTACAAGTCACACTCTGAAGTTATGAGTGAGTGGCTCAAAACAGTTTTTTAATCCACTGGGTTTGTCTATAGCATAGACAAAACCAGGGACATTAGCAACTGGTATACCACATACAAGCACTACCTATTGCAGACTGTGACTTGAGTGCATCAACAATGCACACACCTCTCTTGGTGGGCCATGCTCATCATATTCAACTGAAAATACAAGATCACTAACAAGGAAACAATAAAAAAAACTTACCATCTTCAGTCATGTACTGCTGGCAAGTATACTTCAATTGGTGTTGTTTCTTGCATTCTATCACAGCCAAGATTGAGTACAAGTCACAGTCTGAAGTTTTATGAGTGAGTGGCTCAAATCAGTTTTTTAATCCACTGGGTTTGTCTATAGCATAGACAAAACCAGGGACATTAGCAACTGGTATACCACATACAAGCACTACCTATTGCAGACTGTGACTTGAGTGCATCAACAATGCACAAACATTTCTTACAATCAAACAATAAAATAAACTTACCATCTTCAAGTCATCTTTGGCAAGTATACTTCAATTGGTGTTGTTTGTTGGCTTCTATCACAGCCAAGATTGAGTACAAGTCACAGTCTGAAGTTTTATGAGTGAGTGGCTCAAATCAGTTTTTTAATCCACTGGGTTTGTCTATAGCATAGACAAAACCAGGGACATTAGCAACTGGTATACCACATACAAGCACTCCCTATTGCAGACTGTGACTTGAGTGCATCAACAATGCACACACCTCTCTTGGTGGGCCATGCTCATCATATTCAACTGAAAATACAAGATCACTAACAATCAGACAATAAAATAAACTAACCATCTTCCTGTCCTGTACTGCTAGCAAGTAAGTCAAGTATACTTCAATTGGTGTTGTTTCTTGGCTTCTATCACAGCCAAGCTTGAGTACAAGTCACAGTCTGAAGTTTTATGAGTGAGTGGCTCAAATCAGTTTTTTAATCCACTGGGTTTGTCTATAGCATAGACAAAACCAGGGACATTAGCAACTGGTATACCACATACAAGCACTACCTATTGCAGACTGTGACTTGAGTGCATCAACAATGCACACACCTCTCTTGGTGGGCCATGCTCATCATATTCAACTGAAAATAAAGAGCACTAAAAATAAGACAATAAAATAAACTTACCATCTTCCAGTCATGTATTGCTGGCAAGTATTACTTTCAATTGTGTTGTTTCTTGGCTTCTATCACAGCCAAATTGAGTACAAGTCACAGTCTGAAGTTTTAAATTGTTCTCTTTTTATATTTCTATTTTTTAACCTCTTCTTCTTTCCGTGCATCCATATCCATCGCGGCCTACAACTCGAGTGAAGTCATGGTAACAGTATCCGGGTTATTTCCATAAGTAACGTTCGGAGCGGACACGGACACGGTGTAAAAATCCGGAATTTTAAGAGATTTTTTAGATCATGTCTCAAACTAAAATTAATTTTTATCAAAATAATGATAATCAATTAAATATAAATTTAAGCAACTGATTATTAATATTCAATATCTTTGCCTTGTAAAATGCAAGCAGGTTGAGAGAGTTAGCGGAAAGTGATAGTTCAACATGTTGTTCAATCAATGTTCCTGTTTTTTACATACACATGTAGGCCTAGTTTTGTCGAACCTGATACATAGTAAATCTGTATGTTGACTTACTTATCTTCCTTTTTTGTGCGTGAAAATTTTGTATGCCTGACCAGCATAGCTCTACTCTCATGTATCATGCATCTCTCTATGGGTGTTGTTCATAGCCAATGAATATTATAACAAGTTATGGGTTTGTATTATGATTTGGGAAAATAAAATACATTTATAAATGAAGTTTGCCCCAGGACTTAACATGTTTGTATGGACCAAACCTGTCTGAATGCTTTCTTCCTTGTATATTTTGCTTTTTCTGTCTCTGCTCCTTTACACCGTCCGCACACTTTCGCGCTCCATAACTCTTTGTTGACAGAAGGATCTACTTCCTTGGTAACCGATTCTCATTCGGAACATACTCTGTCATTTTCATATGCAAGTGACCCAATATTTCCGAGTATTTCCGAATGCATCCTTCATAAACGAGTTATGCCCCTTTGTTTGATTTTTTATTTGGCGGAAAATGTACTCTAACACAAAATATTTATTTCTGTTAAGGCGGGAGGAGCATAACCTAATGAAATTCTTGACATAAAATGATTTTTTTAATAAATAATATAAAATTAAAATAATTTTTTTTAAAAAAAAAAGGCATGGGATTATTATGAATTTAGATTAATTTATAATTTTAATGAAGATATATTTACTTATATTTCTTTTTGAATAATTTATTGAGGAGGCCAAAACTGCAAATTAGCTTTGTTGTAATGCATAACGCTGATAAGCAACATTACCCCCCCCCCCCCCCTCTTTTTATTTGGGGGGGGGCTTCCGTTTCAGAGAGATCTCTTAAACTTTTATATTTTATAAAAAATGTGTTAACAGCTTTAAATGTACGATTAATGCAAAGCATGAAATTGACTGCAATAAAATTATTAATAAGAGTTTACAAAATTTTTTTTTTAAATAGAATTTTTCATAATATAAATAGAAAATAGAAATATAAATAAAAATATATAATATAAATAGAAAAAAAAAACAAAGAAATTATTTAAAGTAGAAAAGGTTAAATTAAGTATTTCAAAACTTTATAAGAGCTAAGAAATATTTTTCCACACAAAATAAACAGGTCCCTAGTCTATAAATAAGCCATGAAACTTCAGTTGAATCTTACTTTATAGATATCATGTTCATATAATATTTGAATAAAAACATATGATGAATTGTGTTTGTTTTAAAAATAATAATTGAAAATTATTCAATTTTTGAATTTCTTTTTCCTTTTTTTTTTTTAATCTCACTTAATTCATAGTCACGACTGAGACCAGAAATGGTACTCGTATGGACGGACGTGACTTTAATTCAAATGCACCGGTTTGTTTATCAAAATAATTTAATTCATCCTTAATTTTTTTTTTCAGACCAGTGATCAAGAACTTATCTTCAAATAAATACGACAAATGTTTATTAAAAAACACAAAAAAAAAAAAAAAAAATTAATATAAACTCACAAGCACACACAAATTTCTGGCCTATAACGACTCGTATATACATTTAGTCAACGGCCGAAAAAGAAACGCAGATATTCCCGTTAGGCGAATAGGATTTGACACATAAAACTCTCACCACCGTCTAGCACAATTGATTACAGCTAAGTAGGTCGTCTTTTCTTATGGCGGAACACTTACCGAAAATGTAGGAAGTTCTGAAATAGACCCAGATGGATGAGGTAAGATTAAAGATTTAAAATATATGCAATATGTGCGAGGATAAGAAACATGACTAAAAATGAATACAAGGTCGAATAAAACCAGTCGTTACTCCACACGAATGTGAACAGGAACAGAGAAAAGACTTCATTTCGTTAAACACTGCACTATCTAGAGTAACATGAGTAAGGCCAACATTTTATGTCTTCTCATGGCTTGGTGTCAGTTCGGGCGTACTTATATACTGGTTTGGTTTGAAACATCTTTTAGTTTTTTATCACACTGGTGCATTATGTAAACCCAATTATTAGAATTTTGTGGGTGGGGGTGGAGGATATGTTTACAACCATCCTGGGACGCAATTTACACATTGACTTATTAGAATTTTTCTTCATAAAATGCACTATTAGCGTAAAGGTTTTATTTGATTATCTCTCTTAGATTTTGACAATTCTTCCTTTAAAACATTTCTCAGATTCATAGGTAATAATTTCATTTAAGTAAGCACAATCTTACAAAAATGCTTAACAACCCCAACTTCCCAAGAAAGGTCATCAAATTTTATACATGTAATTGCGGAGGGACCAAAACTCCAGTGTTGTATTACATTGTATATAGTATACAATCGTAAAGCTTTTTCCACCACCCACTTTTCTACGGACACCCTGTTTGTTTGTCAATTCGCAATGTGAGACTGAGGTGTAAATTGATTTTTTTTTTAAAATTATAATTTTGTCTCAATAAAATAACAAAAATAGAACATTTTCCCCCAGAAAAACAGCATTTTGTTACATTATCAAAGTTAAAATTTGAAGATTATGAAAATTAAGGTTTTTTCGTCGTTGTCTGTTGTTAAAAAACTATTGTTTTGGAACTCATCGTCAATTCAGCTTGGCATTCTTGGTTTGTTTGTTGTTGTTTTTTTATCTCACCCGAACATCGACTTTGCGCTTTATGAGAAAAAAATATCTAAGGCCCATTTTTAACTTGCAGCTAGAGATCCAACTAATATAAAAAAATGATTCCAGTGGTTAATTTGGCGCCATATTCATTATTGGGAACAGAGAAGGAAGTGGACACCTCTACACTACGTAAACTGGCCGAAGAGATATGCCATGCTTTTCAAGACGTTGGCTTTGTCTATTTGAAAAATCATGGAATACCAGAACAATTGGTCAGTAATTACTGGATTTACTTACCTTGTCACTGATCGGTTGCAAAAATATTTTGTCAAAAAATATTCCTATTGCACACAGAAGTAGCCAAGTACCCTGATAATTTACTACTGGCATTTAGAAATTTTACTAGAAAAACACATCAGTGGTTACCTAACATCATTTTTTTTTGTGATTAAAATGATACTTTTCTCTCGTCAACTTCCCTTACTTATGCAGCAATATATACCCAGTACCCATATTGCTAGGCCATTATTTGCAACTAAAAGAGTTTTCTTGCCTTTCCATGGCACCTGATCCCACCTCTGATGTTTTAGAGGCCTCTAGCTGTTGCTCTGCTCTCGAAATTGTTTTAATTGACCCTTGAGCTTGATAATTGTTCATTATCTACATAAATATCATTTAATAAATTCATAAAAGAAAGATTCAGATAATAAATAAATGAAGTAAACTGAATTTAATTTTCTAGTATCAATATTTTCTATAAAAATGTATTTTTTCATTTTATAATTATTTAAATTATACCACATCTTCTGTTTTGTAGATCAGTGACGTGTTTACATCATCTAAAACGTTTTTTGATCAATCAGAAGAAATAAAACAAAAATACGCCATTCCTCGAGGAGAATTTCACGGCTATATCTCATTTGAGGAAGAGAAGTATTCAAGCTTTTTTTGATTTCTTTCATTTTTTTTTCAATCTTTGCTTCTTTTAGAGGTAATGGACTTGACCAATCAAATAAATGTAAGAGAAATGTTGAAACACAACTTTTGATGTACTTAGAAAAATAAATTAAGTAGTAATTTAATATAATGAAGAAATTACATTATATCAATTAAATTCTGTATATCTTTATAACTCTATTATCAAACTTAATCAAATAAAGATATTTACAATGCAGAAATTAACATAGATTCCTCGCCAAAAAATAAAATATATAATTCACGTAGCTCCAAGTAGAACTGACCTCATAGCTGGAAAAATGACACGCTGGTGATTGGTCGTCTTGTTCTCTACAGAGTCAATCATGACAGACCAGTTTCTGATGCTCGAGAAGGTTACACTATGCTAGTTTCCAAGGATGGTGTAAGTTGAGAATTTTCTTGCTAGCCCAGGACCAAACATCGTAGATAGGACATACATGTACATGTATTAATTTGATTGGCTTGTATTGTTTATGCATCCTTCAATCTATAGTTCTCGCTAGGTCACCTAGAAATGCACATATGTACAGCAGTGATACAGACTTCACCTATAGACTGAAACTGATTTTTTTTTTATTTAAAAGTACGCAAGTCATCCTTTAAAAATGAAATTTAAAACATTTAAACGGTGAACGTCCCTTTGAGAATCATCACTTTATTGAGAGGCCACCACTTGCAGGAAGAGGGTGCAAATTTGGACCTGCACTCGCTACTTAGGGTCTTTTAGCAGAGGAGGATCTTTATCGTGCCATCTGATAGCGTACTGTGTGCGACAGGGGGCCTCAGTGTACAAGGTATTATACCCAAAGGACCGTTTCTAGGACTCCTACAGTTGGATTCAAACCCACGACGTATGGATCAACTTGATCTCTACTCCTCGACTCTATATCAGACCTAGAGTTTTACCATTGCGACACGTAGGCGACTGTCCGAGAGAAGTATCTTGTGCACGCTACTATGAGGTTATGGATAATAAGTAATGTCTTTGGGGTTTTTTCAGACAATGCCCAAAAACATGCCACCAGAAATAAGTTCCACATTCAAAGAAATGTACATTACGTGTACAAAATTAGCATGGCGGATATTGGATCTTCTCTCTACTGGATTGAACAAGGTACGTGAAAATATTGTTAATAAAAGACAATCATAGTAAACAATTTGTGTAACATAACTTTATTCTAAATACAAGAACAAATGGTTTACATTCCAGGACAGAGAATACTTGAGACAGTTTCACAGAGGAATATGTGTCGAGGGAAATAACACAATGCTTAGATCAAACTACTACCCACCTCTCAAAGGTAAGTCTAAATATTTACCAATTTATAAATTCATTGTACAAAATATTAAAATTTATAGCTAGAACGAATGAAAATCATTACAATGCTCACAATTCTGGGTTCTAGAAAGAGTAAATCTTATTATTGGAGGTTCTTTTTCGTGTGAATGTTTGAGGTTTCAAAGTTATGAGTGATCAATTAGCGCATATTCAACTTCTGTTTATAACATTTTTATTTGTTCGCTTACCAGTTTTTTATTCTTATAAAGCAGAAATTTATCCTAAGGAGAATCTACCAATTACTAGTATTTTTGATCAAAACAATGATTGTGATTAGTTGACACGGGATGTTTGCTCCTGTTAGGCATCGGATTCAACTTCTGATATTTCCCAGGGTTTACGTTTTTGTCACGATTGGTATTGCTTGCAGGGTTTATGAAATCGTTCACTTTGTGTTTTATTCCCCTTTTTCATTCCACATGAACATAAAACAATTTTGATTTTGCAGAGATAAAGAAGGACCAGGCCAGATGTGGAGAACATTCGGATTATGGCACCGTAACATTTCTATTTCAAGACGATGTATCAGGTCTAGAAGTAAGGGGAAAATATGTAAATTTTCAACATAATCAACAGTTTCATTTGCTTATGCAGCTAGCTATGAACACACACTGAAAACTGTCTAATCCGACACATTTGTAATCTGACACACTGTGAATTCCGACATTTAATTTTGTTCCTGTCTTACTATTTTCCATGTTTCTTAACACTGTGCAATCCAACACCCTGTCTATTCCAACACAGACTTATCAGATAAGACACGTTTCACTGTACATGTATGTTTAAATCATTACAGGCAAAAGGTCCTAGTGATGAATACCACCCTGTGCCGCCCGTTGAGGGTACAATCGTTATGAACATCGGAGATATGATGCAAAGATGGAGTGCTGATACATTAAAGGCTACGGTAAAAATTTCAGCCCATGGAACGTTAATAATTATATACAGCGTAATAATAATTCTAAGATTATCTTGATTAATTAAATAAATCGTACATAGTGAAGGCCCATGAACTTTACTTGAAATTAACTCAAAAAGTGAACATTGTGAGAATTACAGTCCTGTAGTAACATTCCTAACATGTAACTTGTTTTTACCCGAACCTTACGTTGGACACATTTTAAAAATATTGCACATTTCTTGCTGAAAAATAAAATCTCTTTTTTTTCCCAGAAACACAGAGTTGTTGTACCACAAGAAGTTAAGGACAGAGAGAAAACAAGGCAGTCAATTTCATTTTTTGTCGTTCCTGACGATGACGCCATTATTACGTGTACAGACGGATCAGATAAATATCCACCAATCAGATGCCTGGACTACGTCAAAACAAATTTTGATGCCAACTTTTGAAGAAAATTGTTTCAAATGAATTTATTCCAATTCATGCATGCCATAAAAGAATATCATCCAACTTTGGCGAATTTCTCTTTAATCAGCAGATACTGTCTGAGAAGGCTTCTTTATAGAAAACCACTTTTTCGATGAAAACGAAAATCAGAAATTTTCACATCTTGTGAGTGGTCATGAGCAAAATTACATCCTTAAAATTCACATAGATTTTACACATTTACTCTAAACTTGATATCAAAAGAATTCTGAAAAACATCAGTTTACGTAAGACTTCGGAGATCACGTCTTTACACAAATTATTGGAATTCCGATGGGCACTAATTGTGATCCCTTACTTACTTGGCAGATGTGATTTTATATGTGTAAAGCAGAGAATATATTCACAAAACTTCCTCATAAGAACAAGAAAACACTTGCAGTGGCCAAGCTTAAACTCGACAAAAAATATAGTCCCTGCTAGATTTCAAACTCAGTTTACCATATCCAGTTGTACAAATGTGAAGAGAAAAGAAAAATATGATCTTTTGATCACTTCCATCTAAATATATAAGGCATATAAGTTATATATATATACTTTTAATGTTTCATCTAGTCAGAAATCCTCCTTTTAACACCAAATGAATTTTTATCTACAACTTGCTGGAACCAAAAAAAAAGCTTTGATATATACAAATGGACTTGAAAAAAATACAGTTGGATTTTTTAAGTAAATCTTTCATTGAATTACTGGTATCAAGATCTGTTGAACCTCTCCAAAGGAAAATGCCAATTTTACATGCATTCATATGCGCAAGTCTACTACTTTCTTGAAATGAAGACCACAGAATGATAAAGACAATGTCAAATGATTTATTTACAACTAGCTTTCCAAATTCACATCACAGACATAAGTTTGTAGGTTATTGTGTGTACACTGTCCACTACAGTTTATAAGGTGTGAACTGAAAGACAACTTTATTATGGCAAATTACTTACTGTATGCAAAATTATTATCATTACAATACTACAAAGATACAATGGTCTGGTTTTCTTCTATTCTAATTATATACTATAGAAGTGATTTTCTGGGGAAAATGACATAGTAATTCTGTACACATGTGAAATACAACCGACAAATCGTGTCATGCATTATACAACAGAATTAATATTTTTTAATTCTTTTTCCTAGTAAGAGAGACTAAACTTGGCAAATAAACATTCGTTATGCCATGCACACAGTACTAATCATTAATTATTACTTTTAAAATTGAACATAAAAATTAACATTCAGTGCTTAGCTCTGAAATACAGAAGTAAAAAAAGATACATCAACAGCAGATCAAAGATTTATATATTGCAGATGATGAATATTTCAAACATCTACATGTCTTTATATTAAATAGCACTTCTTTTTTTTTATCTCTCATTGCTGTAAAATTTAATATACATACAATAAATCTTAAAAGCTTAGAACAGCTAGAGCATTTAAATTACTGAGCCTACATGTACATGTAATTGCTCACATTTTGTTGAAACTATCAAAAGGTTTCAAATGAATTAGTCAGTTTTGAATTAGATACCGGTAAACAGGAATCTTGTTGAGTTTTAACCACCAGTTAAATCATATTCAACTTTCATTAATCACTCATGAAATTGATTGGTCGTCTGCTGAGGTTGACATTGGTTGTCTCCCTTCCTCACTTCCTGTGACCTCCATCTTTTCTTCTGCTGTAGATTCTGTTTTGTCTTCATTAAAGAATATGTTGTCCTCTTGGCTTGCTGTGTTCTGTGGAGAATTGATGCTAGATGTTCTGCTTTTTCTCTCTTCTTCATCAAGTTTCTCCATCTACAATAAGCAGACGAATTTTGTTTTGATCAGAATCTATAGAATTCAGAATTTTTGTTTCAAACTTACAAAACATATACTTGTAATCTGTATAGTGTTTAATTTCACCTTTTTAAGTTTTATATCAATTTTGACCAACTTTATGGAAATTGAAGTAAGCCCATACCCAAATGTGACTGTATTTAACTAAGAAATAAAAAAGTCTACATTATTAAATCAACAGTTTTAAAATCAGTTTGTGGCAGGGCAAAAGTGAAATTGGCCAAAAACTTCCAAGTATACAGTTACAAAAATTTAAATATTCATGTACAGAAAAACAGTGGAATATACTGCAATTGAATATTACAGATACTGTTGAACATTGATTATCAAATACTCTGCAATGCAAAATAATGAAAAGATTGCAAAAGGAAATGAAATGGGTTTTTTTTCTGATTTTGATTAACAGCTAAGGTACATCATCATTTGGCAAACTGTGCCACTCTTGCTTCACCTACATGCAGGCATACTATAAAGATATTATGCTCAACATTATCTTGAATATGTACTTTGAAAGTGGTTGCTTTTCAAACAAGTGCTTTTTTTACCTCTTCATCAATTTTACATATGTCCTCATTCATTGCTCTTTCAATGCTCTCTGCAAGGTCTTTAAACTGTTGGACAGACTTGTTTGTCTGGTTCTCGTTAGAATGACTGATAACACTGTATCCAGGCCCTATTCTCTGGTACCCCTCCCCTCCACTCCCGCCTCCACCCCTAGTTTTCTCTGGATCAACTCCCATCTGATCCTCTGGCTCCTCAGCAATGGACTCTTGGTGGACATTGGGGTTACAGAGAGTGTGTGAGTGGCGTACGTGTTGGTGTAAGTTTTCTGGGATGTCTTCCGGCATTTTTTCAATGTCAGGCATTGTTTTCAGTGAGTGTCCTTGACCTGTGAATGCAGTCTGCTTGCTCTTGTTTCCAACTGCTCCACTGAATGCACTAAATGACCCTTCACTCTGAGAGCCAAAAATAGGTCTGGATTCTTGGGCTTTGTTCTCCACCCCAGGTTCAATTTGAAAATGTCCATAGGGTTCCATACACAGTTCCAGTCTGTTCTCTGCCTCATTATATCTGAATACCTTGAAAAGAATTCAAACTTCATCAAAATTATTGCCAAAAAAATGTGTTTAATACAACTGTCATTTCAATCATTCTTTTCAAGGTTTCCAGTTAAAATCTGATCATCATTCATATACATGTACTGTATTTATTTATGGCTCAACTCTGATACAAAAAATTTACTTGAGACTTTAGCTTAGGTGAGATAAAATGCATTGCCTCTTAGAAACATTTTCAGCACATGTAATGACAAGTCTTACCGTTAAATTATCAGTCTTATTTACTAGAATACTGTAAAATCACATATTTTTGTGGGGTCAAATTTTAATGGTTTGAGTAAAAACTTTTAGTTTGAGGGGATTTGTTGAGTAGTTATGTATGTAACATTTTTCATTTCATGGTGAACATGAATTTGTGGGTCTCTTCATACTTCGAAAACAACGAAATTAACCCCCCACAAAAATTTGTGATTTCACGGTATTTACCTTTCCAGGTAAAGTGGGTAATGTGCAGTGTTTGCCATCTACTAATCCTAGGTCACGCTCCACTTGTTTGTAGAATAATCCACCCACAGAAAATAAATGAGGCATGGTCTGTACATGTGTCCAAAGGTCACGACCTTTTAGGGTAGCCATGATGGTAAGGGAGGCAACTGCAGCATCAAGGCTGTTACTACCTATTTTTGAGAAAAAGTAAATCCCTCTTCAGTGACATGCATAACAATTTGTACACAGATTCAAAATTTATGTCAAACTTTGTAACCTCCAAAAAGTAGATGTAAGACAAAATGTTCCAGAAAATATACTTGAAATATGAATACTTCATCTTAAAATTATTGGTCCAGATTTTATTGGAAATGCCTGGGACTGTAAATGAAAAAATAATTTTGTGTGTATAAAAATACACAATCTCATTGTTTCTTTCATAATCTCCAATTTTCTCACCGGCTTGATCATGGAAACTCTGAAGCAATGGCTCAAATGCTGGTGTATGGTGGATGTCCTCTTCAAAATTGCTCCATTTTTGTTTGTGTTTGACAGGAGCAGAGGCGGAATGTTTCAGAGCTGTAATGCAATAGAAAAACTTTACAAAACTTGCGTTTCAGAGCTATACCATGTATACAGCATAAAAACTTTACACAACTCATACATGTATATTACAAGTATGTCCAAGTCTACAATATTATTTTTGTGCATAGATACTGTAGCCCAATTATTATTCAGGTGAAAGAAATATCCACGAGTTCTGCAACCTATTAAACTCATGAGTATTAATTGCTGTGAACAGATCATTAATTTGCTTAGTATTTGACGAGAAATGTTTCTTCAATTGTGAAAATTAATCTTTGTGGATTGATCACAAACTGATGAATCGCGAATAAAAGATGATGTAAATAAAAAATAGTAAACAGTAGTATAGCTGGGTCAAATTAATCTTAAAGTTGAACTTGATACATGCATAAGTTTTTTAGATTAATCATAAAAATCCATATTCATTTACATATACACAGTCTTTCCAGATGCTTAGAAGTCTTTCACTATGAAGTACCATACAAAAGAACTAATAAGTAAATATTGACCAAACATTTCTATATCATAATGATATAGTAATAATAAATTTGGAAATTCATTGTTTGCTCATAAATGTAATAGTTGTTTCTCTACTTGAAATTTTATATGAGCCTTGAACTTAGGTGAGCTATAAAATTAAATTAAAGCAACACATTAGGAATTACCTTTGTGCTCGTGATGTGAACTCTCGGCTCCTGAATCAGACAAAGAATGAATCATTGGAAGGATTTCCAGTGATATTTTGTCTCCGTGAGCGAGTGGAATTGGCTCATTAATATCAGAGTCTGAAGGTCTTTTTAATTCCTTGGGAGGAAATCCGATCCTTATTTTTTGTCTCTCGGGAGGAACTTTCACAGCCTTGTATATCATGTCCTGGAGAGTTTTAAAATTTACTTGTCCTTCAACAGTCAACATAACCTAAAATATAAATGTGTAAAATAGTGTTAACAACAATCAATTTCTGACAAATATCTTACATGCTAAATGCAATATGTTTAAAGAAGTTGTCTTCCTCCAACTATACTGAAAGGAAAAAGAAACGCAGGGTAAACTTTTGGGGTGAATTAAATTTATTTTTCTTAAAATATTTTTTAGTTTTCCTATCTAACTTTTATAATTATCTTTCAAAACGATATAATCAAAGTTCCATTTGATTTTGTTTAATAATTCATGAGTTATTGAAGCTCATATGGCGATCCCCCAAAAGTGAAAATCAAAAACTTGCATTATCTTTAATGTCTCTCCCGTGCATCTGTCAGAGCCTTATTTCTCCTTTGCTTGGAATTTCATCAGAGTGTTTATCTTTCAAACCCTGGCTATATTTGGCATGGGTAAGCATGCAAAAAAATAAGTCAAATGGCGCGTGCATGCGCCAGTGAGAGGAATACAACAGTAAGTTGACTGGCTCAAAACACCAAATTGCGGAATTGTTTTCTTTCAAATTTCGTGTGAATGTAATGATTATAATCGTCTTCTGTATAAATGGCTGTTTTTGTGGTAGTAAGGTGGCGATTTAAGAGATGGCACGACGAATAACCTACTCATAACATGACTTTGTTTTGTGTTAACGTCATCGTCACGGTTGATTGAAAACCATTCCAGGCCCTCTCTGACAACGGGTAACAAGTTTTATGGGGGAAAATTTACAATAAACAGCTTAGTTAACCATTGTTGCCTTTTTCATTAATTAGGCAATTTGAAATCAAGACCCCACTGAACTTCAATAAACTGTGCCAAGACTGCAAGAAATTCATAATGTCTCTAAATATTGAAAAACGATGTGCATACCTCATGTGCATCAAATAATGCAACAAGACTTATTGACAAACTTGTTGTTATCAAATTGCACGTGGTTTGGGCTTTTTAGCGTTTTCCCTACGTGACGTCATAATTTTTAAGGTTGAGTAATTCTGAATACTGATTTTGGTGCATTGTAACTAAATTTCTCTTCTGACCAAATTTCGTGATTTTCGGTCATGCGGTCAAATTTTTTTCGAACATTATGCTACCCTGCGTTTCTTTTTCCTTTCAGTATATATAGTAAATAAGAAGTCCACTAGTTAAAAGAAGGTAATACATGAACAATGAAAACACTGGCTCGAAAAAGAGCCCTTTGATACTAGGAACTTCTTTCAAGATACATTCAATATAATTTAGATAAAAATAACAATTCTAAAATATTAAAATCATTGAAGACCAGACACCCCCCCCCCCAAGGAAACACAGCTGATTTCAAGTTTAATACTGAGCAAACAGTCACCACTGGTAAATAGGACTATCAATATTAAAATTTATATTTAACT